TCTCATTCTTCTCTAGATGGTAATGATTTGTCTGCTTCCCATTTTTTTGTTTTTTACTAATTTTCTATAGAATATTAATTATTATTTTCGATTGCTCTCTTCATCCCGAAATTGTCTTAATTTTTGTTTGCTTTCTTCATACTAAAATATTAATTATTATGTATTTATATTATTTAGAATAAAATATTATAGTGAGAAGCTTCTTTATAAGTTTAACAGCTTTAAGTATATTTCAGTAATTTTAACAGAAAAAATACTTACTAACACTTGTTTATCAAACACTTCAATAGTTTTTTTTCAGCTCTAGCACTTTTATCCTAATACGTAACTGCTTATTTAAAAAACAAAAAAGGACCAAAAATATCCCTAATGTATGAAAAATGGCTCACAAATACCTTTTGGTCTAAAAATATCCTCAATCTTTATTTTTGGCTCATGAATACCCCTTAAACTAACGGTGTAAATCTGGGCTCTTTAAAATAGCTACATGGCGTATTATGATTTGCCACGTTTTTTATTCAGAATTAAATTAAAATTCACCCATTTTTTAAACCTCCCCCGTTTCTTTTTTTACTTAGATTATGTTCAACAAAATTTCCATTCCCAACTAATATACACGCATGGTAAAGAAATTTCATAGTCTTAGGTCGCTCAAAAACCAAGAAAGATTAAGGCAAATTTTCATGCCGAATTTGTAAAGTGGATAGGAGCCAAGAAAAAACAAAGTGAAAAAGATCCCAGCATTTACATGAAAGTTACATTTTTGGATCACAATAAATTCAATTTGCAGAAAGAACAAAGTGCAAAGATTAAGGCATTCAAGAAGCACAAGCTTGTTGCTTGGAAAATCCACAAGGCCACAAACGGAAATTTTCGGCCTTTCACAAAAACAGTGAAGATTGCAGTTGTAGTGAGGATGAAGAAGCAGAGGTTTAAGGTCAAAAGAAACGGGTCAGGAGTGGGGCGGGTTTATAAATTTGGGTGGGTTTTAATTTAATTATGAATTGTGGCAAACCATAATATGCCAAGTGGCTATTTTAAAGAGCCAAATTTGACCCAGATTTAGTCCGTCAGTTTGAGGGGTATCCATGAGCCAAAACTAAAGGTCAAGGGTATTTTTAGACCAAAAGGTGGAAGGAGGGTATTTGTAAGCCATTTTTCATACGTTAGGGGTATTTTTGGTTCTTTTCCGTTAATAAAATCAGCTCCAGCACTTAAAAAGTGCTTTTAAGCACTTGTACTTAAAAGGGGGGAGTTGTATCTATACCCGCTTTTTGGTTCACGTTTTAACTTGTGCCCGTTTTGCAAAAAAAATTACAAGCGTACCCACTTTTTTGCGTAACTTCAGCATACGAGGCTGAAGTAGCAAAGGCAATCACGCAAAACTCCAGCATTCTAGTAGACGAGCAAAACTTCACGCTGAAGTTTTTTTGTCCTGGATAAGATGCTGAAGTTATTTAGTTCATTTGTAAAAACTTCAGCACTAAAATAACTAAAGTTTTTTTGTCCTGGATTTATTAGTTTTGTCATAAAGCTTTTTCAAAAACTTCAGCAGAAGATGCTGAAGTTATTTAGTTTATTTTGTAAAAACTTCAGCCCTAAATAAGCTAAAATTCTTTTTTGTCCTGGATAAGCTTTTTCAAAAACTTCAGCAGAAGATGTTGAAGTTATTTAGTTCATTTGTAAAAATTTCACCATTGTATAAGCTGAAGTTCTTTTTAGTGAATTTAGGTTCTCTCCACTTTTACACTGACCTTCCAAGAACCAAAATCAGGAACTAAATACAGTGCAAATTGTTGCAAAACACAAAGCAGATGAACAATCTCATCCAAAAACCAGTAAACTACTACAACGTATGCTTGCTCCCAAATCTGAAACAGTTTCTGCTATTTATGAAAACAGTTTCTGTTGTTCACGAAAGATAGAGATCGAGTATCTAGATCAATGTATTCCAAATATTTTTCCACATTGTTAAGATTTATGTATATCCATACACGAAGAAGTCTTCACATTGTTTTATGTGATTTATAATTTATTGTCTACTAACTTACATAATTATTTATGATTTATTTTTAAATAATCTGATCTGATAAATATACTTATGGCAATCATCCCATGAACTGAAGTTTTATAGCAGCACCAACAGCAGCAAAAGAAAGCAGCAAAAGAAAGAAGAAGAAAACGAAGTAGGAGAAGTGCAATTTTAAGCTACTTTTTTTAAGCCAATCCAAACGGGCTCTAACTTTGACTTGAATTATATTTAGTAGATCTCATTCTAATCCGCTTGTAGAGCAAATCAAACACAGCAAGATCGACGAAGAATTTTACAGCGCAACCCCACCGTATAAATTGTTTATCCCATTATGCAGTAAATTAGAATAGTGACTCGTGACTAAATGACAAGTTTTTACTAGTATTACGAGTTACCACCATGTGCTAAACCTAATAGAGGAAAAATAAAAATAAAAAAAAGGTCAAAAAATGACTAGATAGGTGGAAGGAGTTTGGAGGGGGAAGTGGTGGAATTATATCCACCTAAACCATTATAGAGTTGTTAGGACTGGTGATGATCACAAGGACGCAACCATCATATGATCAAGTTTTGACGGATAGAGTTACTCACTATTTATATCGACGAAGAATAATAAATATACAGTAAAACAGTTAAAGTGTGTACAAGCTAGCCAGACACCACTAGTATAACGACAACAACAATAACAACTACCCAGTAAAATCCCACAAAGTAGAGTGTGGGGAGGGTAATATGTACGCACATCTTACCCCTACCCCGATAGAGAAAGAGAATGCTGTCATCATGTGGGGTTGTCAATTGTTATCATTTTCTTTGCCTTTTGGGGTGGTTAGATGTGAAAATATGGCTACATTATTTTCACTTGTCTTTTAATTTAAGAATAAAATAGTTCCTATACCTTTTTCCTTTCCCTGGGGACCTTATTTTAAATAAAGATTATCAGAGTGAATCATCACTTTATCTTGCTAGAAGACAACAGCAGAAGCATGGCAAATCACTGTCTGCTGCAGCCATTAGTGTTGTGACTAACTAATCCTTCTTAGCTTAGTTCTCAAGCAAAGCCTTGCTTGTGTAGCACCACATCATTATTTCCTCAATAATTACTCCTATAAAAAGAAAACATTTCTATATATATTTCATAACAGTAGGCCAATTCTTGAATAGAATCATTCAATTGGTTTCATTCTTTTTTCTTACTATTATATACTTCTATGTGTCTACATTACTCAGGGTTGAAATTTCCAGCCTTTTCATTCTTTAGTGTTGATCCAAGACCATGATTCCTTCTCAAATGATAGTTTTTCTAGTTATTTTTCTTCAGAGCTATCTTGTCCTAGCATATGATCCTGATCCAGTTCATGACTACTGCATACCAAGGGCAGAATTCTCTTCAATCTTCCTTTCGTGTAAGAATTCATCGTTGGTCACAGTCGAAGATTTTATCTATTCAGGTATTAAAGATCCAGGGAACTTTAAACATACTGGATTTTCATCCATTCCAGTTAGCTCCACTGTCTTTCCTGGACTGAACACCTTAGGCATGTCATTTGTTCGTGCTGATTTTGACGTTGATGGTGTCAACGTGCCACATTTTCATCCGAGGGCAACTGAGACTGCATTTGTGCTCGAGGGGAAGATTTATTCCGGGTTTGTTGATTCAGGAAGCAGAGTTTTTGCTAAGGTTCTTGAGAAAGGAGAAGTGATGGTGTTTCCAAAAGGTTTAGTTCACTTCCAAATGAATGTTGGTGATACCGCAGCTACTATTTTGGGAAGTTTTAACAGCCAAAATCCAGGATTGGTGAAAATCCCATCTGCTATTTTTGGAACAGGAATTAAAGAGGAGCTCTTGATTAAGGCTTTTGGATTGAGTGATAAAGAGATTGCTAAATTAAGGAAGAAGTTTGTTCCTCAATAGCTGGGATAGATTATAGGATAAATTGTAGTTTCTGTTATTTGTCTCTTTTTTTCTTTATTATAATGCAACTAAATTACAACAGTTCCAAAAAATCTGCTGCAGACTTTTAAGGGTTGCAACTTGCAACATAAGAATACTGAGAATTAGTAAAACTTTTTATGTTTCTTTAAGTTCTGTTGGTGAAGAAACTAATATTTATGTTTTGTATCTAGGCTAAAAAATGTATCTTCTAATTAATTAGTTTAGGCAAAACTGCTTTAAAAGACTCCAGAAAAGAGTGAGAATTTTAGGCATTTCATTCTTATTCCAGCCGAGGGTCTATCGAAAATAACCTCTCTGCCCTTCCAGGGTAGGGTAAGGATGCGTACATCTTACCCTCCCCAGACCCCACTTGTGGGAAATCACTATGTTTGTTGTTGTCATCATACTTTTAGAACGCACTTAGAGTATTTAACATACAACTAAATCCTATGTTGCTCGGACTCTCCGAAAATGTCAATGCTGCGTCAGATCCTCCAAAGGTGGTGCATTTTTGGAGGATCCGGCACCTGTGCAACATAGGGTAAATCAGGATACAAACAATAGCTTTTGTTGAAGGGCTTTCAAATGCTCAGTAATAGGTTGAATTCTCTAGCAATACATGAAGTATTGTAATAGGTTTGTTGTATTTTGTTGTCTTCTAGTCAGAGATATAGTTCTTATTTTGATCATACCATTGTCTACATCAGAATGTGAAAAAAGTAAGAGAATGACCATTGCTATAAGGCAAAAGCTAAAGTGTAAAAAGCAAGCATGCTGCTGTCATATTGATAAACACCATCATTTGATCAATGTTCAAGCTGTTAAAGCTTACTCCACAAATGAAAGAGATGACAAAAAATATTTAGGGGAAAGATCACTTTTAGCCTGCGGCAGAAACTATTTACATCGAGTAACCGCAAAAGTGTATAAAATTTATATATTTTTTGTATACAAAAAATATACATTTTTCGGCTATTATTTTAAGAGTGGCTATACAGTATCATTTTCCTAAATATTTGTTTATAGTACGAATCAAGAAGGCAAATCACCTCTCATTTCATTAAGTTGCACATATGAAACTGCTTAGACTTCAAGAACTAACACAGTTATGCGCATTCAGAAGCATCAGTTGTTTACATCAAACACTCAGCACTGAAGTAAGTGCTAGAAACATCAGGCTAAAATAAAAAGGAACGAGAACTCAACACTGAAAAACAAGTCATCTCAATGATGACCTCCTAAGCTATGTCGACATATCTTAGTACTAATTAGAGCATGGCGTTCAGCATTTCGTTCCAGGTATCAGGTACTCCGGGAAGACACCAATGGCTACAATCAGATTTATAGTCTTCTAAATGCTGCTTACCTGTTTGGCTTACAAACTTACTGTAGACAGAAGGATGCCCGTCTCTTCTTAGAGCTGTCATCGTCGTTATATCCTGGAACGATACTGGAAAACTCATCCTTCTTAGTACTTCTTTTAGCACCAGCAGCGGTTCTGGTACATGAGGGTGGCTAAAGAATTCCAGTGGCTCCCTCTGATTGAAGCATTTCCATCCATTTTCCCTAACAAATTATAATGCAACAACAACAACAACAGCTAAGCCTCAATCTCAAGCAAATAGGGGTCGACTATATGAATCCTCACTGACCATGTCTTGCTCAATTTTGGTTCATCTCAGACCAATATTATACGCATCATAATAAAATATCTGAAATCAAACATTTTTCTCACACATTCTATGAACAGGATATATAGAGAACTGCATATTTTGCGGAAATGTGGTAATCAAGATGAGTACCTGTTATGTCGAGGCGACATGCTTCTGAAGAAAACTCGAGTTTTTCGAGGATCAAGATTCAAGTCTACCCATTTAGCCCATGTCATTAGTCCTTTCTCATAGGCAACCATTGGGTTCATGTTTCTATAGAAACTGTTTCCTTCCATTATTAAGTCCCACCTGAATTTCAATTAAATGGTTCAATAAAACTATGTCAATGACCTCATAGCATTGCATTAAAGAAATTGCCTTCATATTCGAGAATCATAAAGGGCAGCCCGGTGCACTAAGCTCCCGCTATGCGGGGTCCGGGGAAGGGCAGGACCACAAGGGTCTATTGTACGCAGCCTTACCCTGCATTTCTGCAAGAGGCTGTTTCCACGGCTCGAACCCGTGACCTCGAGGTCACATGACAATAAATTTACCAGTAACGCCAATGCTCCCTTCTCATAAGCGAGGAGAAAGGGTAAAAAAGAAAGTGAAATATATCTTACGAACTATATTTATCGGAGTGAGTCCACCAATGAGCTGAATCAAAAACAAGAACATCAGCTCCTCTCCAATACTTTGCATTCTCTTCAATCATATCCAAATGCAATATTCTCTTGTTTTCTGGTCCCTTTTTTAATTCAACCAGAAAAGGTGCCCAGCAGAATTCTATTGTTGTCTCAAAATCCTTAAAAAAAACCAATCAACCATCAGTTAACTAGTTTTGAATTTTTAGTACTATGTTTTATATCAGTTCCAGTTATAATAATAACGATAGAGTTTAACTTCTGTACACTGACTGACGGATAACTAGAAGTAAATTCTCGTATAAGCGAAACAAGATTCTAACACTTTCTCACCATAGCATGGAAGGCCATAGTAGGACCAACATAGGTTACTGTTTTTCTAGCCATAGGGATAACAGATTGAACTAAGCAAACAAGAGACTCCCATTGATTCCTCACTATTGAATCACCCACAAGCATTATTCTCTTCTTCCTCATCCTTCCAAGAAATTCCAATGTATTAAACCTGCACTCACACCAAGAAAATTAGACCATCATATGGATATTTTCCAAGAATTCAACCAACAAAAGACAAAGGTCAAAAAACACCGAAATATCTTAACTTTACGCTCTACTTTGGGGCATTCATACCCTTATCGTTTACAAATTGTCTCGTATTGGACCTTTGATTTTAACAAATCTCCAGCATAGGGTGAATTAATCTAGAGCAAATACTAGACGATTTGCTATAGGCATATGAGTGGCCAACATATAACAAAGGGCAGCCCGGCGCTCTAAACTCCCACTATGCACGGGGTCTGGGCAAGGGCCGTACCACAAGGGTCTATTGTACGCAGCCTTACCATGCATTTCTTCAAGAGGCTGTTTATACGGTTCGAACCCATGACCTATTGTTCACATGGCACCAACTATACCCATAAAGTCTGCCAACATATAATGGTTAGTAAAATTTATAATGATTAGTAAAATTTAGATATTTTGTATAGTATATGGACATTCTTTTACCCTTATCCCAACAAATACAACAATAAACCTAGTGTAATATAACAAGTGGGGTCTGGAGAAAGGCAGTGTGTACGCCCCTACCTTGAAAAGGTAGAGAGGCTATTTCCAACCGACCCTCGGCTCAGGATTTTTTTTTTACCTTTATCCCCCCAAAAAATAAGTAAAGAATAAGACATTACAACTTCAATTACCTAGGAATTTCACAACCATGAGGTTTCCACCTCCATTTTTCATAGTCAGAATCAGGACGGCCATTCTTGGTACAAGTTACAGCAGTACTGAGATAAGGACAACTAGAATCATAAAGAGGGTAAGATTGATCATAAACCCATTTTCCAGAAGTTAAATCACATCTTCTCATAGCAGAATGCTGGTTATGAAACATAGAAATCTCATCATCTCTGTCATCTAACCATGTTAGTTCCTCTAACTCATACTGTGATAAAATCCCAGAAATGAAGCTCAAAACAAGAAAGAATAACAAAAATGACTTATTCTTTGCCATTAATTGCAGCAAAACGAGAAAGCATACAACTCAAATGTGGAATTTTGGAGTGATGTTAATTAGTAAAGAGGGGTTGTGTTATCTATATGGAGTTTTAACTTTCTTGAAAGTTGACAAAATGTGTTGTATTTTCGCCATGACTGGCGGGGAGAATGGGCCATATGCCATGTGGTAATCAACTTTTTTTTACACGCTATAGTAGAATTACTCATTACCATTGTTTCTAGTAAATAGGAGAGTAGTTAAGATGTCAAAATTCAAATCATCAATATTTCTGTCCCATGTTCATAATGTGTTGTGTTTTTTTCGTCTCACTTTAATAACTAGGAATTGAAGGCAGATCTATCAAAAGATAGAAAATAATGGAAATTGAAAATCTATATAGATAATACCAACTAGAATACTAGTGCTTAGTAGCATAGGCGGATCTATTTGTAACAATGAGGGGTCAGCAGACCCGTAGATTTCGACAGACATTTTATATATGTATATGCGTATACCTTAAAAATAGTTAATATAAACTTGACACCCTAAATATTAAAAGCCTTTAGGGGCACTAGTTGAGCAAAATACTAGTTCCCTCGTCGCGTTAAAATCCTAAGTCCGTCTCTGCTTACTAGAAGAATTTTAGTATATATGTTATTGAAATATTATACTCTCAAATAGAGCATTTAAATGTCAAGAATTCATAAAGTCAATCTCAACTAAATTGGAATTGATGCATTGTTGTTGTTATTGTGAGTCGAACTTTTATATACCAACATTGTAAAACCAAAAATTATATTATCAAATCAGTAAAAATATAACTACAAGCAATCATCCATTATAAGTAAAATAATAACCTAAAATTAAAAGCAAGTAACTTGTTACGATATAGTAAAGTATATACGTAGGGTAAAAATTCAATATAATGCCAAGTATATACTCCCTCCGGTCCCAAATAAGTGATTTTTTGGTAGTTTTCACACATATTAAGAAATTCCCCTTTTAGCATTAATTAGCAATAAAATTGACCATATTATCCTTTACTACCTCTTCACATAAACACTCCTAACACATACTCCAACATTAATTACTCCAAGGGCAATGTAAGAAAAAAATAATTAATTTATTCTTGGAATCTGGAAAAATCACTTATTTTGAACCACAAGAAAAAGCAATAAAATCACTTATTTTGGACCGGAGGGAGTAAGAGGTAACTCTTCTTTTGGAGGGGCTGTTGGCCACTGTGAAAAAAGGTGCATAATGAAAAAGAAAAAGGGGGATTATTAACAGGGAGGCTTTGATTACACCGTAATTTAGGGATTGTTGACCAATTAACACTGTTATTAAGCGCCTTTTCTTTTCTTTATCTTTTATGTTGTTCTCCTTTTTGCTTTTCTTAATATTCCCTTTCGGAACCCATTGGTTCGAAGTCAAGAGCTTAAGGCTCCTTTACTATTACGGATAAGCAAAAATAATTTTAAGATATCATCTTTTTTCTTGTTTGGTTATTAATCTTAAGATAAATTATCCCAAAATTAAAAATAATTAGAATAATTTATACTTGTCAGAGGAAGAAATAATAATTCAAGAATAATTTATCACAGGATAAAGCAGTAAAACTGACAACTCTGGATTAATACAACATACCAAACGATCAATAAGAAATAATCTCAACATAACTAATCTCATAACTAATCCCAGCATAACTTATCTTCAATCCAAACTACGCCTACGTGACTTATTAGAGAGTAAATTTCATGGGTGACCCTTTAGCTTTGTGTTCATTACCTTAAAATCACTTTTCTTTTTTTGGTTACGGAAAAGTCATTACCAGAACCAACAAGGGTTGTGGTGGAGAGGTAAGTACTCCTTTATCCTTAATCAGAGGTCTCGGGTTCGAGTCCCTGAGCATGGAGTCGCTTTTGTTAGGGAGTGCTTTACCTCCCAATGTGGGACTTCCTAGCGCTAATCCGCATTTAGTCGGGCCCCAATATGGGTACCGGACACTGGTTCTGTGTTTATTACCCAAAAGTCACTTTTCTTTCTTATGTTACACAAAAATTATTTTATTATGCTCTAGTTATCACAATCGTCACTTTGACCAGACTTTATAAAACTTTCACCTGAAAAGTCTATTATGCCCTTGGTATTATAAATCCTCCCAATATGTAATACCTTATATATATTATATACTACTTGTTACCTAGGTATTTTACTTATAGTTAAAATGATTTTATATTATTTTATTTATTATTTTATAATATATCAGTATATTTAATTTTTTCATGGCACTCAATTTGTTTAATCATATTCAAACATGAACATATATTGAAACATAAAACGACAAAAATATTCATTTTTTAATATTTATTTAAGTGAATAAAAATAGATTTAGTTAACAAATGATAGTTTTTTATAAGACGTTAAAACTTTCAAAAAAATTCAAAGATATTTGTGTTTAATATTAAGTCTTTTAAAGCTTTTATCTGATAATTTTTTTAAAAGTGTTAATTTGATATGTCAGTGTGCTAAATGTGGGTATTTTGTTTATTTGATTAACAAATACGACTTGACTGATAAATCTGTGAGCTTTAATTTTATAATTTTTGTTAAAAATATTTCATTAGGTATGGTTAAGAATATTGACTTGAGAGTTATTCATAGTAATTTTACTAACAAATTTAATAATGCTACATGTATATCTTGAAAATTAACGTTAAGCAAAATTAAATGTCGATATATTAATAATAAATCAAATAATATTAAGTTATTTTAATTATAAGTAAAATATTAGGTAAAAATATTATACAGTATATAATATAGAAGGTATTACATAAATGGGGGGATTTATAATGTCAAGGGCATAATAGACTTTTTATGTGAAAATTTTATAAAATTTGGTCAAAGTGACTACTGTGATAACTAGAGCATATTAAAATAATTTTTGTGTAACAAAAGAAAGAAAAATGACTTTTGGGTAATAAATATAAAGTTGAATGACTTTTACGTAACCAAAAAAATAAAAGTAACTTTAAAGTAATGAATACAAGATTGAATGACCATTCATAAAAAATTTACTCCCTATTAGAATAAGAACGCCTTTTCTTTTCTTTAACTTCTATTTTCTCTGCTGCTCTAATCTACCGCACATCTATCTATTTTCTTCGTTGTTCATTTAATCACTTAAAGTCAATCTACTAAACCAACCCATTCTCATTTTTGCTTACATAAATCAATTTTTTTTTTGGTATTCTAACGTTTCAGTTCAGGAAGCAGTCAAGTACACATTACACAAGCGAGTAATAGGTAAGGTTTGCAATATTTAATTCTTTTACATTAATTAGCAAAAAAAAAAATAATCGTTTACATTATAATTATGAAATCAAGTTCACCTTTTTTTAAAAAAAAATCTTTCTTCATACTCATATGCCTATTTGGTAAACGACAAAGGTCATTGAATACTTTGAATTGCATTCTTTTTCATTTTTTATCATAAAATTCTCAAACTTTTGACTTCACATAGAAATATTAAAAATATGTATGAAGATGAGAAAAGGTTACTTGAGATGATTTAAACATATCTTAATTAGATCTCAAAGTGTATTGGTCTGTACAACACTAAGATGATTAGATGCGTTAAGAAAATAAAATAAATCTAAAATCACATGAAAATAATTAGTTTAGAAAACCTAGAAGTACACATAATTAAGAGCAAATCAATAGATATATGATATGTGTCTTGTATATGGACTTCAATCATTTAACCATGGTAAATTACATGCATTCTCATCTAATTAAATTAATTAACCATAGTGAGTTAATATAGTTTGGTGTAAACACCCGGTATGAGTAAGTATTTACCGTATACTTGTATATACATGCAGAAACCAATTGGTTTAAGGCAAGAGCCATAAGTGGCTAATTAGAATAATGCGTAAACCGATAGTAACGCATGGGTTGCATTAATTCATTCAACTTTTGGTATGCTGCCTTAATATAATTCTTAATGAAACTCTATGACATCTAATTATAGTTATAATAAATATAATAAAACTAGAAAAAACGAAGGCCTAGGAGAAGAAGAGAATTAGAGAAGCCCTAGCGTTCAAGTCGAAGCAATTAGAGAAGGTTCAAAGATGAAAAAAAAAATGCAAGTCGCCAAAAGAAGAAGAAATCAGGACCTCCCAATCGAAGAATATGCAAAGGTACCTGTTGTGTGTGTGTGTTTTTTTTTTAAAGAACTAGGGTCCGCGGTGTTCAAACCGAATCGAAAAATCACACTAAACTGAAAAGTCAGACTAAACAGATTAAAAAATCCGATTAAGTTTGGTTTGATTTTGTTTGGTATTGAGTAAAAAATAAAAAATTAAACCAACATATAAATATATAGTTTTTATATATACTTTTAAGACTTTATATAGAATTTATTTTTAAAGTGTGTAAAAATATTTGTGATCCTCTCATGAAATATAATATTAAAATAAAACTATGAAGTGCATCTATCCTTATTTACTTTAAATAATGGTTTGTATCATTTGCTATCTTATCAAGTGTTATTAAAATGCGTCAATCTCTTTGTTTTTCTATATTCATATGTCAAGAGCTATTAAACTCTTATGTATTTTTCAAATTTAAAATAATACTTTATCAGATAATTTTAAAATTAAATATAACATATCATTATTTATGTTTCTTATTGGTTTTTGTGTTAAATTATTAAATCCGTTTAACCTTGAAAGCGTAAATCAACAAGAAGTTATTGTCGCCGACTAAGAAAATGACTATCATATGTTACTAAAAAATTCTCTCATAAGATTATTTTAATAGATCATATGCTTATTAGTTTTTTAAATTTTTACTAAATTTACATTCATTTATCAAAACTTTATCTATAACTATAACAAAGCAAGATTGAAATAATATTCATATAAAAAAAAAAACGAAAAATCTGACAAAACTGAACCAATCCAAACCGATATAGTTGGTTTGGTTTGGTTTGATTTTGATAAAAATTGAACCAACCTGGCACATGTGGCACATGTACCCCCCTAACTAGGGTGCTGTTTGAGCCAATTTCATATATAAAGATTTTATTTTGGCCTCCACTAGGGGTGTGCATTCGATTTATCGATTCGATTTTGACCCTTATCGATAATTACTTATCGATTATCGATTTGTA